ACTTTTTAATATTTTTTACATGCTAGGATAAAGGCCAATAAACTTGCAACTGGTTGTAAGAAAGCATTATTTATTAATCAAACCGTTATTGCACTACTTAAAATATTTCAAACATTTCAATAAGTTTATTTAATTTAATTAATCCTAAGTTTTACTTTAACATAAAGAAAAGATTCATAATTAGAAACGATCAAATAATTTTTTAAATATGAAAATTAATGTTTTAATAATAATACCTCTTCCATGGCATCGTCTGTTTCAGCTGCTTTACCTTTACCTTTATTAGAAGCAGATCTATCTTTTCGTTTCAATAAATTCCTTCTATCCTTATCGAGTTTCAACTTGGTAATAACAACATTTGATGGATGAATACCAATAGGAACAGTTGTACCATTTATTTTTTCCCTATTGACACGCTCAACATGAATCACCCATTTTTTACGATAAACTTGAATTACTTTTCCATGAGCTTTATTTGTGCCACTGCCACGCACAATACGAACTTCATCATCTTTTCGAATTGGGATTGATCGAATCTATAATGAAACAATTTTATAATATCATTATAAATTAGAAATAAATTTATTAAGAAAAAAAAAAAAAAGTGATTCATACATTGTACTTGTCTCTAAGTTCCTTTGATAATGAAGCACTCATCATTTTTCTTCGAACAGAGGATGGAGCAGTGAAATGCGCTTTTCGACTTTTACGCCGAGAAGAGCTAACGTCTACAGTTGAAAAATGTAACATCAATTAATATTATAAAAATTATTTATTATTAGATTCATCCATACAAGCAATTTTAGGATAAAAAATATTAAATAAAAAAAAAATCTGATCAACCTTTAGAAAACTTCATCGTCTTAAAGGATCTTTATGATAAAGAAGAGATCTTAAAAAATTTTTTTAAATTGATCTTCATACATATGTACATATGGGCTAAGCTGCGGTGGAACCTAATCAGAAGGTATTCACATGATTGGCTAATTCATAAACTTTATATCGAAGATGGTTCCGAGGGAGTGCACTCATATCGAACGATGCTAAAATTTGTATCTATTTTATGTTCGATGTTTAAATTTGTTAATAAA